TTTCCTGTTTTGTGTGCAAAGTGATTTACCTCTTAGTTTCCAGTTATGGCACTGTGCCCTTGATTTATAGCCCTGGTTTCCAGTAGCTCCCCAGGTGGAACTTTGTACACAATTGCTTAAACCATGCCAATTGGACTTCCTGCCCCTTAAGGTGACTCACTGTTTCTTGTCCATTAACCACTTCCAAATGAATGTGCACACATTACCTTGGACAGCTTTAAATTTTAGGAATTAGCCTTTTATGAGGGGCATTATCAAAAGCTTTCTAGAAATCTCTATATGTTATATACGTTATTAGTACCAAATGCCCTTGCTGCTTGATCAAAGAATTCTAGTGAGTTGGGTAATCAAGATCTTCCTTTACTAAAACAACACTGATTTTGAAATGTTTGGTTGTAAATATTATTATAGGCCAACAATGAGACAGCTTTCACATCCAGTTCACTCCATTGTGTTTCAACGCCTTTAAAGGTTAGACTTTCACAACGCAAAACTGGACCAGTGTCATCACCGTGACGTCTAAGACCACAAACCACACATAACACAGCCAAATTACAGAAAAAAGGGTTCAGAAATGAGCCCTTCAGCAACGATATCGGTCATACAGATACTTAACCAGGTCATAAACTTTTACTGATTTCACAGTCCAAATCTAGATTTTCCTGCATCCGTTAAGCATTACTCGTGTGGCTCCTCACGACCTGATTACAGCCTCACAGTTTAAATTTGCAGACAAGCCTGACAGTCCAAAGCTATAAGAAATGATGAAAAAATTCAAGCACACACGGCCAAGAGGAGGGTCATCGTCACAAGGACCCTACGGCGGCACAAGCATTGCTGGGTTCAGAAACTTGCAACAGTCCGTCAGTGGAAGAAAGAAAACAGAAAGGTTTCTGGGGTTCTGGGGTTAAAAGAAAAGCTTTTTTCTTTCTTGCCCACTGAATGAACCAGCATCACGATGCTACACTCACTCTTCTCATGGTGTCCTTGACTCTGGGCACTGGAAGGCGTGGAAGGGAGGTCTGAAAGCTGTACAGCATCGGCCTCCGGCCGGAGAAGAGCTTTACAAACAGCTGTGGAGGAAGAAGAACGACACAGGAACGTCAGGCTGAATGGGCAACAGAAAACACCTGTAACACCAGTTACTGTTTTTGTCAGAAGCGGTAATGAGGGACCTTTTCTACAAGAGTAAGAGGTGTGACAGAGCACAACAATTCCTCACTTCTCACCTCCTTACTATGCTGGTTACATTACACAAAGCAGAGGTGACCCTATACAGTCTGGTGTCTAATTCAGGTGTCAATATGAATACACAGTGTGGTATTTTTTACCCTCAACAGACCTGCCCCCCACTATGCCCCCCTCACGCCTGCTCACTTCACCCCCGAGGTCTGAAACCGTTGTAGGCAAACAAAATCCACGTGAAAAAAACAATTACAACTTCATTATTTTTCAATCCAAGGGGTTTCGCCCAAGGAATCGCGCTGCCCTACAAAAAGCAGAGCTGCAACTACAATGTCAAGGTAAAGAGAATCATCTTCTTCCTGGGAGGAGCCTTTATCCCTTTAAGGGACCTTTAATTAGTGTCCCACCCTGGAATGTCCACCTATAAGCCACCGCTCAGACTGTTGCCCCATATTATAGCCATTGCTATCTAAGGCTCTTCAAGCACAAACTAAAGTCAAATTCAATTGCAGCTGAGCCTTGCAACAACCTCACAGTAGTGGTCAATCAGGGGCTTGTTTCTTACTCACCATCCAGAATCGGGTGGTTCTTGAAAGTGTGCCATGCTGGCCGTACATCCATCCGTGCCAGGACAGCAGGGTCTTCAAGGCACTCCTCATGGTGTAGATCAGGGCCACCCACAGTCCTGTCCCCACCAGAACGCCACCTACTATTCTCTGGTTCCCATCCGTCAGGTACTTACTACAGGGGGACAAGAGGAGGTACCCTCACTCACAACTGAAGATCAGGTGTCTTATAGTAACAGTAAAATG